CGCCACTAACGAGCCCCAGCTGCATTGTTAATCTTGCATCCCGAAAAGACTTACAGGAGACTTCTGCTGAGTCACAACACCCCCCCCCCTCCAACACACACATATTCCAGCATTATTTGACTCCTCTTGTTAGTGGCACCCTATAGGAATTTTTGTAGAATATGTACCTCCCAGGTCTGGAGGGATAGATCTCCTGCGAGTATTAACTCAGTGCGTCTCTAGATGGGGGTGGGAAGGGAATCTATTCCAGGCATTATATCTAGAAAACCTGTTCCATTTTTTAACCCATCCCATTCCTGATTTGCTGTGTTTGCTGCGTGGATGGAAATGTTTATTATCCTCCTTTAATTTTCAAAGGCAAGGGCTTTGCAGAATGCTACAGAATTGGTCTTCCTTTTTTCATCTCCTTACAATATAACCAGGGTCAACACAGAAAAGTAGTTGAGATGGGGAAAGAGCAGCAGGCAGCATGGGGTTGATCTCTTTGCTCTCTGTACCATAACATGAAGGACTGAAAAAAAATATAGACCCATATTTTACTATTTCTCCCATATAACCAGGTGTTCTTCATTTATAAAGTCTCCATTTGTACTTTCAGTTTATTCTGTGCACTTATAGCCTTGCTTCAGCTGGTCTTTTTGGTATAGGAGCTAAAATATAAAGTTTAAAATGCATGTGTTTTAACATTTGCATGGCTGGAGCAGGGATCTTTAACTCAAATAATTATCAGGAGTGTGTTCATTAGTCTGAAGGTTATAACCCAATGCCTGTTTTTGTGCAAAGGCCTCTGATGAGTCAAAGATGAAGACAATTAAGTGGTATTGAATATAATTTTATTAACTAAATAAATCAAACACATCCTCTCTCTGAAATCCAAATTTAACTAGATTGGAATTCCTTCCACTATGTCATTTCATGATGAATACTTAATAGAAATGTTATATTTTAAAAGTAATAATGTGTACTTTCTAACTGTTGTGCCAGCAAAAGAGAGGTTACGGAGGTTACAAACTTATCCTAAGGGGGACTAAATTTTGTTACACTGTAAATTTTTGTTTCCACTAACCTATTTAATCAACATTGATTTTTAGGAAGATTGTTTGTAATGGGGTGGGGGGGGCATTGTTTCTTACAGATGTTTCTACTTTTTTCTGGGGAAGAACATAACCTAATTGTATTGTATTGTATTGTATTGTATTATTTGTATGCCACCCTTCTCCGGGAGGACTCAGGGCGGCGAACAATTCAAGGGGGAAAAAGGGGA